AAATAATAAGTGACATTTTTGTGTTCTAATGTGTTGATCAGTGTTGCAGTTTGCTCCGAATACTGTGTGGTCGACAAGATTGGCGTTTGATGTCGAGAGATTCGTAGAAGTCTCTACAACAATAATCAATGAGGAAGATGTTGTGACGACTAATCGAACATGGTCAGGTACGGCCGAGCGCTAGTAAAATTGAGCCTACACCGCTACAGTCTGTAACTTATCGGCAGATCTTACGGCAATGCAATTCAAGCGGCCGCCGAACACATGGTCCTTTGGTGCTGTAAATGAACGTCTGAGGCTTGGTCGGCTTTCGTAGATTTTGCGCAGTTGCCTCCTTCCCTTTGAAATATATGATGGTATCCGTCTTTACACATAGTTTCCGTTTTTTGCAATGTTTTCAAATGTCATACAGTTGCCGTTTCTTAAGAGAATATGTGATGAATTTTGGAAGCTCGGAATTCCATGGTTCGCAATACACTTATCTCGATTTCTTTTAATTTTGCAAAGCAGTGTTACGATTCGCTAGCGCTAGTACGGCGCGACTGCTTGCTGGCGCGAATGTGGCACGAACGCAGCAGAACGGAAAGCTGTAGTGCGTTTGTCTGGAGGTAGCCATATCGGCGCGTTCCAGACTTAAATGAAGTCTGGGATGTTCGACTGTTGTAATATTTAACAAGAGTTAATATCTGTTAGCAGGTGGTGATAACTGATAGACCGTATGCTGTTCACTGTCAACCGCATGAGGACGTGCGACAGTCAGAGGTAGCAGTGTCTGTGTACGCCCCTCACGATACACTTTTGTGTGATTGTAACGGGGACATGTTTGCGGTATGGTTGGTCTGTAACTGTTCTATACTGAATTGAAAAAAAAAGAGAGTAAGAAAAAAAATGTGGTTCTTACTATCATTGCAGGGCGTTTGTCGGTCCAATGATATAGCTAAAGGGAATAGTGATTCCGGACTAGCATAAATAGTACTTGAAAAAAAAAAGCGTAAGAAAAAAAAATAGTTCTTACTATCATTGCAGGGCTTTGTGCCGGTCCAATGATATGGCTATAGGGAATAGTTATTCCGGACTAGCGAAAACAGTACTTGAAAAAAAAAAGAGAGAAAATAGAAAAGGCTACAGACTAATTATTCCGATCTAACATAAAGATGATTAAAGTTTTGTAGGGCTTATTGCCGGAACAAAACTGATTGTCACCCGAGTCTGAAGGGTCAATATAGACCGGACCAGACGCTGTTTTGTCAGGATAATCGAACGATGTTTTACAGATTACAGTTGTTACAGATAACTAAAATTGTGATGGAGCGCGTGCGAGGACGCACGCATGTCAGTATGGCCGTGACGGCACCTGCACCATTGTAGATGCGGTGGCGTTGGTCTAGCTAGGCAGAATTCTTGTAAACGACACGTGTACCGCACACCTGCGGCATTGCACCTGCGCGGCCGCCCGTCCTGCTTGTATAAAACGGACTGAGCGGCCGCCGTTAAGGCAGTCTTGGCTCTGACGTGGAACGGTGCGCTTGTCGTATTGCGTTACTAGTTTATCCTCGACTCGTTGGATAATTAATTCGTGTAAACAAATTAATTATTATTCCTAACTACAAAATCAGTCTCTGTACTATACCCACTATACTTCCTACATGTGTATAAGTACTACCATTTTCAATCATTCAATCTTAAAAAAGATACCTTATGTTTCAACTGTACGTCTTACGTATAAAATATAGTCATTACATAAGCATTTCCCGTACTCGAGTTCAGTAAAAAAGTAAATCCCTGGTCTATAAATTAACCTTAAACTTAATCGCTTTAACAAACGACATTCAATGCAAGCCGTGAACATGTCGAAGAGAAATATAAATTATGTTAGCTGTTTTGCATAATTGCATTTAGAGAAATAAACGTCAGTAAGCATTTATGTTAATTTAGCGATCCTTCTTGCCTAAACGGTGCGGCAGTTTGCTTGTTTAAATGAACGCCGGCGACGAAACCGCTGTCTGTATTAGAGATGCGTGAGCCGGCTGCTTGTATCTTCAGGAGTATTTATGCTTTGCGACTGCTCGCGATAGAACTCCACGTTTATTTTATTTTCTCCTGGATGTAGTAATTAGCGCTAATCTTTCTAATTTACGTAGTTAAAAAGGATACCGACAAGCTAGTGGATTCTTTTCTCTAACAGTCCAGCCATTAGTATAGATAGTGGTCCATAAACACCTACGTTCTCGATTAAAAATCAAGATTTGAATTCGTTGTCACCTCTGGGGACGCAAATAGAATGCCTCATTACCAGTCAAAAAGTGTTTTCAATTCAATTCAATTTATTTGCTGTTCTTGTTGTACATTTGTTCTTAATTTTAAAAAATTGTTCGAAACAAGAACTCTGCGAGGGCACTGCATATAGGCAATTATTAATATTATATTATTTCATAGTCACTCAGCGAGCTATGGAGAGAGCTATGCTCGGAGTTTCTCTGCGTGATAAACTTAGAAATGAGGATATCCGCAGTAGAAACGACCGAGTGACCGACATAGCCCAACGGATTAGTAAGCTGAAGTGGCAGTGGGCCGGCCATATAGCTCGAAGAACCGACAACCGATGGGGAAGAAAGTGGCAGCCTCGTACCGGTAGGTGAAGTGTAGGGAGACCCCTCACGAGATGGAGTGACGACCTGGTAAGACATGCAGGAAGTAGTTGGATGCAGTTGGCTCAGGACCGTGCTTTGTGGCATTCCTTGTGGGAGGCCTATGTTCAGCAGTGGACTTATGAAAGCCTGTAATGATGATGATGATGATGATGAATAGTATTATTAATGTATCTGTGGATAATTTTATTTTTGGTCTTAATTTTTTAGCGCGATAATATTGAGGGAACCAGTCGATATTATTTCTAACTAGTGAGCATATTTCAGATATTATATATATAGATGTTAATGTGAGGATTTTATAATTGATAAAGTAATTTCTGCAACTTGTCATGGAGTCGATATTTGCAAGTATGCGAATAATTTTTTTTCTGAATTAGAAACACTCTGTTAGCGTCTGTGCTATTACCCCAAAATACCACACCGTAGCGTAGCCAGGCGTCTGCGTACACGTAGTAGGCACAGGTTGCTGTTTTAAGTCGGTGGTATTTTTAAGTTCTATAAGAGCGTATGTAAAACTAAATAATTTTTTGACAACTTTATTAATGTTTTCGGTTATCTATGTTCACCTTAAAAAACACAGCAGCATTAAGCTCCTATTTTACGCTGGTATGTATTGGTATTACTGTTAGAGCAAGAATGCACGATCGAACCGATCCGTTCGTGCTGCAATCATAATATAGCTGCAGCGTGGCTCTACCACGTATTTTTTTTTGTAAATTAATCAACTTTACTTAATTTTATATAACACCGTATCTCCTTACAGTGCGGGGTAATAATTATAATTATTGGAAATATTATTCAAATAAAATCTCCTCGGTTACAAACTTAAGCTATTAAAGTCCTGACCCTCGGCAATAGCCGTGTCAGGTGGCGAAAGTTTCAAAGTCACTCCGAACTATTGAAGATTTTTATGGACGCTAAATGTTCCCAATAATTGGACTCCCAGAAATGTTTAGTTCAAAAACTTACGTAATTTTGATATAATTCTATCCATTTAAAAGCAAATATATTATTCAGTAATGGAAAAGTGGATATAATTATATGATTATCGTAAATAGATATTACGCATTAATAGTAAAGAGGTTAAAGATGATTGGGGTGTTTTGGCATGTATATTTATTACAGATTTTAATACGTAAATGTGATGCGATTCTGTGTACCTATTACATTTTTATGCATGAGAGCTTAAAGTAAAAACGATGATACGAGGGCTATAATGTCCTCCAGACCGAATTTCGGTCACGGCGGCTAGTCTCAAGTCTGCGCAGGACATTAAATATAATACGCGAGTGTGTGTATAATAGGGTGTTTAAGAGCAAAAAGCAATGTTTTAAATGTTAAGAATTTTATTTTATTTTGTAAATTCTAGATGGCGCTAGTAGTACTTTTTTGCACGCTATAATCAGCGCATCGTAACGCCATAAGGTCAACCTAAGTTTTTGTTTAATAAATCAGTTCAGGATACGTATCAAGGCGTTTTATTTACCCGTTACGTCATCCCTAGCGTAGGTACATTGGTCCTTAATTCGAACCGGATGAAGTGTTCGGGATCTGAGGCCTAGTCAGGAAGTGCAGTGGTCAGTAGTTGTGGACCACACCCCCTGGACTCGCAGTGGATCGCTGCAGCAGGAGTTCAGGCACTGGTTAGTGGTGGTGTTTATTTCTGCCAGGCAGGATACATTACCGCTACAGTGGTGGGGAGGACACAAGAGTTCAGCTTCAGATGTCAACTTTGAAGAGGGAGCTGTCAATCGCGACAAGTGAAGTTATAATAAATAAGAGGTGTCACAAATAGATGGCACCGCTTTTGGAAGTGAGTGTAAAGTGCAAAGTCAATACCAGTGGTCAAGTTAAAAGCTAGTGTCAAAGTGTAGTCATTTAGTGGTGAGTGCAAGAAAGAAAAAAAAAACTGTAAGTACTTTTGAATTTGTATGTCGTGCCATTTGGAACTATAAAGTGAAAATAACATTAAAAATAACTTCTATATTTAAATTTGTAATTGTGTTAATTTTAAAAAACTTAGCATAAAATTAACTCACATTTTTAAATTTGTTATTATGTTAATTTTAAAAAACTTAGTATAAAAATAACTCACATTTTTAAATTTGTAACAGTGTTAAGTTTAAAGACTTATAATAATATTTAAAATAAGTTGTCAACGGGTATAACCGTATACATTTAATAACTTTGAATGGGACTTAAAATAAATTTGAAATACGGTCAAAACTAGCAGTATAAATGTTCGATTTTGTTCAAAGGGTTATTAACTCTTGTAACATTTTCAGGTCTTTCTAAATATACTTAATTAATTTTTACTTTTAAAATTGGGAAGTAGATATTGATTTAAAAATGGATAAAATTATTAATCTCCAAAGGGAAACACAAAACGTTATTAATAAAGCCTATAGTAATTATAAAAAATGTCCCAAGGAACGTTTAACGTACGAATATTTAGAGACGAGGTTAGAAATATTAGACAGTAATTGGCAATCTTTTATTGATAATCATAAAAAGTTGTACGAACATGTTAAACCGGAAGACTTACAAACATCTGATTATGTTAAATTAGAGGTTTATGATAAAACTGAGGACACTTACATTGTTTACAAATCTCATATGAAATCTGCAAAAAATAAATTATGTCCATCAGAGGAGAAGCCACAGCGCAGTGATTTGACTCCTTTTCTAGATAAACAATGCGCCGTGAAATTACCTAGAATTACAATTCCTACATTCTCGGGTAAATACTCGGAATGGACGACATTCCGAGATTTGTTTTTGTCATTAGTCCATAAAAATGAATCACTCGATAATGTGCAGAGGCTTCATTATTTAAAGAGTCATCTCACTGGTGAGGCGGCTCAACTGATTCGGCATACTCCAGTTACCGAAACAAATTATAAAGAATCTTGGGATGTTTTAGAAAAGAGATATAATAACAAAAGGTATTTGTCTAATTGTATTTTAAAAAGGTTGTTTGGTCAAAAACGGATATATTGTGAATCGGCATCTAGCTTAAAAGAATTGTTAGATACCACAATGGATTGTTTATGTGCATTAAAAAATTTAGATATAGATGTAAGCAAATGGGATATAATTGTCATTTATCTTGTAAGCTATAAACTGGATGCTGAAACACGTAAGCAGTGGGAATTATTTATAGCAAGTGATGATTCTTTACCCACAATTGATACGTTCAAAATATTTATCGAAAATCGTTTTAGAGCATTAGAAACAATTGAACCGCGTAAAATACTTACTCATAATGCCACCCACTCTCCGAACACGAAAGTTTTGCTAGCGACTAAGTCTTTTAGTTTAAAGTGTGAATACTGTTCGCAGAATCATAAATTATGTTTCTGCAAACAGTTTTCGAGTCAAGATGTTGACCGCAGACGGGAATTTGTGTCAACAAGAAAGATGTGTTTTAATTGTTTGGGCCGAAATCATCTTTCCTACGATTGCAAAAAACCGACAAAGTGTAGGATATGTCAAAAAAGACATCACACACTATTGCATCCCACCAACAATCAGGAGAAAAAGGACCAGGCTGCGGTTTTAAACCAGTCGGCCAGTTGCACTGATACTTCGGAATCTGAAGTTCCGGTAGTAGCTTGCCTTTCTACTGGTCACATCCCTAAGCCCAGGCAGGTCTTATTAGCGACAGCACTAATAAGAGTTGAATCTAAAACCGGAGAACATAAGCTAGTACGAGCCCTTATAGATCAAGGTTCTCAAGGTTGCTTCATTACAGAAGCAATAGTTCAGTATCTTCAATTGAAGAAAATTCCAGCAGTCGGGGTGATTTCAGGATTATCAAATAATAAAGTTATGCGCGCTCAGTCCAAGGTTCGATTCCAAGTGCAATCATGTGTTGATCCAAATTTTAAGATGGGAATTGAAGCTTATGTTTTGAGCAAGATAACCGACTGTCTACCTGAAAGGAAGATAGAAGCAATAGCTTGGGAAGAGCTTAACCAATTGACGTTAGCCGACCCACAGTTCAACATACCCAATAAAATTGATATTTTATTGGGTGCGGATGTTTATAGCACGATAATAAGGCATGGGATAAAGAAGTGCCCAAATGGGTCCCTGATAGCACAGAATACCACGCTTGGGTGGATTCTTTCCGGTGTAATAAACAATGTAAATGGAAAAAATAATACTTCTACAATGAAACTTCAGGTTATGCATGCACAGGTCATGGACAATGAAATACTGAAGAGGTTCTGGGAAATAGAAGAAAGTAAGTTTTACAATGAAAAGAAAATACATACAGAAGAAGAGCAAAAATGTGAGAAAATTTATGAGACTACGACTAAAAGAACGCCAGAAGGGCGATATATAGTAAAATTACCATTGCGAGACGAAGAGCTAGTTTGTAAGAATGGCAATTCTAGAGAAATAGCGATAAAGAGACTAAAGTCATTAGAAACGAGACTAAGTAAGAATCAAGAGCTACGGGAAAAATATCATAATGTTTTAAAGGAATATTTACAGTTAGGGCACATGAGATCAATAAGTAACCATGAACCAAGGATTAACGAACCTATTTATTTACCACACCATGCCGTGGTACGAGAAGACAAGTCCACCACAAAGGTTAGAGTGGTCTTCAATGCTTCAGAGCCAAATAAGTTTGGTGTATCATTAAATGATGCTTTGATGGTAGGACCTACCTTACAAGCAGATCTCAGACACACGATGTTACGCTGGCGAACCCATCCGATTGCCTTAGTGGCAGATATTGTAAAAATGTATCGCCAAGTGCTTGTAGCCGAAGCAGATGCCAACATGTATCAACGCATTGTGTGGAGAGAAGATCCTAAGGAAGAAATAAAGGATTATGAACTCTTAACATTCACCTTTGGAACTGCATCGGCGCCTTACCTAGCTGTGAGAACACTTCATCGGGTAGTTTATGATGCTGGAGTTCTATACCCAATCGCTGCGGAACAAGTCTTGAACTGCTTCTATATGGATGATTTAATGACAGGTTGTGATACGGTTCAAGAAGGTTGCGAAATTGTTAAACAATTAAAAGAATTATTAGGACAGGCAGGATTTGAATTGCAGAAATGGAATAGCAACAGTAAAAGGCTGATGAAACACATAGAGCAAGGTGAAGAAAAGGACACTATAATAAAGAAAACAAAATTGAAGGACAACAAAGGAGCAGTAAAACTATTAGAAAATGAAATAAGTGAAGTCAAAATAAGATCAGATGATACAATAAAAATTTTAAGGACTAACCTGGAGCCGCGCTGAAGATGAATATAAGTATGCAGTACAGCTTTCCCCGGTGACAGGACCTGAAACAAAAAGAACGATAGTGTCTGAAATTGCGAGAATATTTGATCCATTAGGTTGGGTTGCACCTAGTGTAATCATAGCAAAGGTATTTATTCAAAGGCTATGGTTGTCAGGAATCAGTTGGGATGAACAGATCTCCAATGAATTAAAAATTATATGGGATACTTACATGGTAGAGTTAGATGAATTATCCAAAGTGCGAATACCACGTTGGCTCGGAACGAAGAATAATGATCTTGCTGTAGAATTGCACGGCTTCTGCGATGCATCGAAATTGGCATACGCAGCAGTTATATATTTGCGAATTATCGATTGTTCAAATAAAGTTAAAACATCACTTGTGGTAGCAAAAACGAGAGTAGCTCCTGTGAAACAAGTGAGCATTCCAAGGCTGGAACTATGCGGAGCAGTTCTGTTGGCGCGACTTTTAGCGGAAACGTCAGAAGTATTTAATATTTCTAAGAACGAAGTTCATGCGTGGACTGATTCCACCATCGTTCTGGCCTGGCTCAATAACCATCCGAGCCGCTGGAAAACTTTTGTTGGAAATAGGGTGACAGAGATTCTGACTACCCTAGAATCATCACAATGGTGTCATATTTCCACCAAGCAAAATCCAGCAGATTGCGCATCCAGGGGTGTCTCACCTGCGTTACTGGCGGAAAATAATTTATGGTTTTCAGGACCTAGTTTTTTTAAAGAACAACATATTTCATATAATAGACCAAAGAATTTATATACAAAAGAAGAAGAATCTATAAAAGCATATGTGGAGGTAGTTACCGAAGGTGAAGAAGATTCACTTTTTAAGCGGTATTCATCACTCCCAAAACTTTTGAGAGTTGTCGCTTATTGCAGAAAATTTCTCAAAGGGTCCGTAAAGAGTCGCTATTTACAAAAGACAGAAATAGACAAGGCTTTACAGTGTTGCATAAGAAAGGCACAAATGGAGAAGTTCCCGGAAGAATACGCAGATTTAAAATCTGGAAGGTCTATAAAAAAGAAAGGAAGCAACCTAAGAACATTAGGTCCTTATTTGGATGGCAGCGGAATGATTAGAGTTGCCGGTCGCCTGAGAAATGCAGTGATTGAGGATACCATTAAGCGCCCTATTGTTCTACCTCGTGATTCTCCATTCACTAAATTGATCATTGCAGATGCACACATTCAAACTCTTCACGGAGGACAGCAGTTGATGCTCAATTATTTAAGGACAGCTTATTGGGTGATAGGAGCTAAGGCTTTGGTAAAACAACATATCCATAAATGCGTTACATGTGTAAAGAATAGTGCAACTACTCACAATCAGCTCATGGGTGATTTACCATCTGTAAGGTGCACCCCTGCGAGGCCATTTCTCAATAGTGGAGTGGACTATGCGGGGCCTATACAGATCAGGACGACCAAGGGTCGTGGCCACCGAGCCTACAAGGGCTATATTTGTATTTTTATATGTATGGTCACAAGAGCCATACATCTAGAGGTTGTCAGTGATATGACTAGTCAGGCCTTTTTAGCAGCCTTCCGACGATTTATAGCCAGACGTGGAAAATGCGCTCACCTGTGGTCGGATAACGGGACTACTTTCGTTGGCGCATCTAAGGAACTACGAGAACTAAGTTCTATTCAGCCGAAATTTGCAGAACACCTAGAAAAAAACGGGACAGAGTGGCACTTTATACCTCCCCGGGCACCAAATTTTGGAGGACTTTGGGAAGCGGGTGTCAAATCTACCAAGCACCACTTGAGAAGAGTTATTGGAGAAACGACTCTAACGTTTGAAGAGATGAGCACTCTTCTTACTCAAATCGAGGCATGCCTCAACTCTCGACCAATGACAACTGTTAACTCAGACGATCCTAACGAACCACTGCCGTTGACTCCAGGTCACTTCTTGGTTGGAGAACCATTAGTTAATGCAATCGATAGGAATTATGATTCGAGTAACGTAAATTCATTGTCAAGGTGGCAGTTAGTACAAAAATTGTTGCAATCATTTTGGAAACGTTGGTCACAAGAATATTTGGTCATGTTAATGCACAGATATAAATGGTCGCGTCAAATTGCAGAACCAAATGTGGGTGACATTGTGTTAGTAAAGGAGGATGATCTTCCTCCGGGACAGTGGTTACTTGGTCGCATTATACAAAAACATCCGGGCGAGGACAATATAACCCGTGTGGTTACATTGCGTACTAGATCTTCAATTTTGAAACGACCAACCTCAAAATTGTGCATATTGCCAGTAGATAAGTAATATAAAAAATTTTAGATTATTGTCTCAATTTACCGTTGTATTAGCATGTATTATTGTTTAGTTACTTCTAGATTTTATTGTTTATTCGTAATAGATTTAAATTTAAATTTTGTTGTGTTTTATGTGTTGTTGTTTGTAAAATATACCCACTACGTTTAATTTAATGTGGGCATGGTGGGCGGCATTCGCTAATTAAGGACATTTTAATTAAATGTCCTTGGTGGGCGGTATGTTTAAGAGCAAAAAGCAATGTTTTAAATGTTAAGAATTTTATTTTATTTTGTAAATTCTAGATGGCGCTAGTAGTACTTTGTTGCACGCTATAATCAGCGCATCGTAACGCCATAAGGTCAACCTAAGTTTTTGTTTAATAAATCAGTTCAGGATACGTATCAAGGCGTTTTATTTACCCGTTACGTCATCCCTAGCGTAGCTAGTAGTACATAGGGTGAGTGATTTTTTTTTATATAGGGCATACCCGCAAAAAGCTACGTGACAGGCTCAATAAGCAAATATAAATATATTTTTATGTAGTTTTAAATTTACGGGTGCCCCGTATAGAACAGTTTAGAAAAAAAAATATCCGAAACATGTCAATGTACATTAACTCAAAACTTTATAAAAGATTTGAAAGTGTTCTGTTGTTTCTAAACACATCCAATCACTAGTAAGCGTCAATTTTTACAGTTCAACTTTCAGTTCGTAATATATATGTCGCAGCGAACTAGTTTAATTAGCCTTTCAGATAACAGTCTAGGATTTTGAATAAACGGCCTGAATTGTATTCAGCTCATGCGTTTCAGATTATGCGTCTAATACAACATTTCTAATAATACCTAATAATGTACTTTAGCTATTATTAAAACTTTACAATTTAAAAAAGCTAAGATGTTAACTGAAAGGCTAATAAAGCTATTATACATATGCAAATACGACGGGCAGCAGCGTCGTCTAGTAACGACTAAAATAAAAAAACACTGAGGTTGCGTTTGTTACAGCTGAATAAAGAAAGTGGCGCAAATTTGAGTCTCTGAGAGATGACCACATTTTTATGTGCCATTTGCTCTAGTGACCATCAATTCGTGGGGTACTTAAGTTCTTATAGGAACTGTATCCGCAACTAGTCGCCGCAAAGGCTAAGATAGCCATTCGGCGAGTAAACACAATCAACGTTCTTGGCACTATACCGCAAGGAGTAGGGTTGTGTGATGATTTATGTTTGTAGTCTTAGTTTTTCTTATTATGGTAATAAATATTGTACGTATTTAAATGTTACGTAAGTAAATGATATGTGTGTTTAATGTGAACTACGAAATTTAGTAAACTGCTATTTTTTGCATTGGATTACTTAGTGTGATCAACAAAAAAGTCAAATTGAATTTTACATACATATTTAAGCATCACGCTTGTGATCCCTTGAGCGGGTAGGCAAAGTCCAAATAACAGTGAGCTACACGGACCGTAGCGAAAACAATAGGTACAGAGATAAAATTGTGAAATAACCTGGATAGCCCATCCTCATTACAATCACAAACATAAAATATCGTATTAGTCGTGTTTAATGCTAGGCAAGTAACATAGTAGGCACATTCTTTTTAGCTATATATACCATATAACTACGCGACTCCCAATATATAGCTAGATAACATTATCCCATGCTTCGGTAAGTGCCTCCATCACCCCATTTCTACAAAAGTCCAATGCTGAACATAGGCCTCCCCCAACTAGGGCGAAATCCCCCCCCCCCCCCCCATGAAAATTATTAAACATTAGAGAAAAATCAATAATGAGATAATTTTTTTTTATATTTTTGTTAACGTTTTACATATTTTTCATATTTTTTTTGAGATACATATTAAGCTGTCTATAAATTTTTATAAAAAAATGTATTTACCGTGTCGTAAATACAATGCCTTGCCAAGAAATGAATTGAGCATGCGAAAAACATTTATAATTTATATTTAAATATTCCTTTAATTTTTAGGTCACCTTAATGCTATTTTCGGTATTGCTTGCTGACAACTTGCAGACGTGACGCATTTGAGAAAAGAAGTGAGTAAAAATGCACCAAGATTTATAGAATTGTCTTCTGAACATTCCTAATGGAAATAAAGAAACACACATTTCCTTACGATTTTTCCGCAGAAGTTCTAATGACATATTTGAATTTGTTTAGTAGAGAGAGGTAGAGCTTAAGACTGTAGTTCTTGAGCGTGGAAACTTTTAATATAACACATATTTTGATATTTTCTAGCCACACAGACGCATCTCGCAGTGTTATTATACGCACCCTGGAGATGAATAAATTACTTTTGGTGTTTTGCACAAGTTACATATTCATCACGCGTTCGTCTTCGTAGCGTGTTCATAAATGTCTCAAAAACACGCATTGTATGTAGCCATTTGCAATTTTTTTTTTATTTCATTTGTTTGTCACATTGCGAAGTCCGCGAGCCCGTAATTAATAGCTGACGGTAAAGGGTGGGGCCAGAGTGTACGCTTTCTAGGTATTATTTTAACTATTATTTTATATTTATGAACAAATTTAAAATATTATCAATGTGTTGTGTAAAATGGGAAATGTGGGTTTCATAAGAATGATCTTTTATTAACAAATAAAGGTTAATACAGATTTGAACAATCACAGTGGTTTAAACAATTTATACAGTATGTAACAAACAATGCGTTGGTCGTTTCAGGGATGTATAGGTGTACTACGAATGGGATTTTAGCGTTACTAATCAAATAACTAACTAAATTTATTATTTCTAAAAATGTTATTTGCATCTGAACTAAACGACAAGTGCCGACATACCTACGGTCACTGTGAGGTCTCTGACATGGTCATGATCATTTTTTTAAAGCGAGCCGCTGCGCAACGCGTGCACCCCCAAGGTTTGTGTGTGAATGATCCCCTCAGAAGTATCTTCATGGTGGATCATATCTTATATGTTGCAACCATTGCGGCAACTTTTTACTGCTTAGAAGAAATAATTTACTTAGTTCGTGTTTTCTTTAAATAAATGGGTATAATGTTATGGTTCATACAATAAGGTCATTATAATAAAAATTATTTTCGTCTAAATTCATATATTATTATAACATTAATGCTAAAAGCGAAGTTATTTTCAGTATTTTTTTCTAGATACAGTTATTCTCAGAAGCTTTTAATTTAAATTTAATAGAAATAATAATGAAAATATTTTAATAAAGTGCTGGTAGTTTATGAAAATTTCATATCTCTTCTTGAAAACCTAATAATAATTAATAAGTTCATATTTATTTTATATTATAAATTATCTTACAAAAATCATTTTACAAAGTCACTTAACGAGAAAAATCTTAGGTCCTCTACGTAGATGACGATCTTTTGAATAGTTTTAACAGTTTCTAAAATTATGTTGAGATCAAATATACATTAGTCATTCATTACGATCTATCAAAGTCAACTACTGAACATAAGCCTATCCAACAGAATACCTCTTAATGAGGTATTTTTCATAGTTTCCACTTTTGCCAGGCGGGTTGAAAACCGCATTTTTTTCCTTGGAACTAGTTGTTGTTAGGAAGATGCTGTTACCCATTTCCTGATATCCATCTGCCTTTTACCACACCCACGAGATTAATTGGACGAGTGAATATTCTTTCACAGTCAATACACATTTTTATTGGATATTTATGTTGTACACCACATTATTACGAGTACTAATTAGATATTTGGGAAAAATATTTAAAAAAAAGGTTGTTTCAAGTATAAAATGTCATGATTAATTTCAAACTTGCAACTATTTGTCGGAGATTGTATTATGCATCTTTCATGTAAAACTTTTTTCGGTAAAGAATATGTAACATAAATTATTTTTAAAAAGATCAACATTAAAATAATGTAATACACAAAATAAAATTACTGTTAAATAAGCGGCGTTTCGCGCGCTCCTCAAGCTCAAACCCGCTCCCCGCTCGTCATCGAAATGGATGCCAAACACGATCAAGTCTACCGTCAAGTATGCAGCGCGCTTGAAGCGGCGTCCGGTAAACTTGACGGTGTATGGCTGTGGGTGTGCATGACAAGTCTACTTGAAGCAAAAATTGAATTTCGATTCTGCCGATTTGATCAAGCTTGCAGCGTCATGCAAACTTGAACGTGTGTATGAGCGGTCAAGTATGCATGACGTTAGTCGGCTTCGGCAAGCGAAGACGTACGCATGTACCGCACGTGACGAGCGCCATGTCGCAAAATACTGCGCGTTATAGAGAAGTCCTCTGCGATTTCATTAATATTTATAGAAATGAGCCATGTTTGTGGCAAATAAAAAATAAATTGTACCACAGCAAGTAAGTGTACATATACTCGTATATATTTACAACGCAACCAATTAAATACTTTATTTTTCTTATTTAACTAAAAGATAGGAAAATTAATGCAAACATGAACTACCTACTCGTAATAAGATTTTATTTATGTAAAAAGTAAGGATAAGAAGTCTTGAGATGTGATAACGAAATATAAGTTTCAAAGACGTTTTATAGGTCATAAAACATCTTTGATAAGTTTGTTTTCTTTTATTTTCTACTGATTTTTTGAGTGTTTCATAGTGTTATCCGCTTTTGTTAATCGCTTTTACAACAAAATTCCAGAAAATATACAAAATTTGACATGCTCAAAGTTCATAAACTTTATTAAACTAAGTTTGTATAACAACTGTTATTATAACATTAAATAATTTATAAATGACAATAACCGCTGGAAATGAGGTGATCGCTACCAAGCTATTAATAATTTGTTGTGTTGTTAATTCGTGTAACATAGGTACCTACATGATTGTAAGCTGTTATTTAAAAAAAAGTCCCGCTGGGTTTCTTGCTGGTTCTTCCCAGGACAAAGGTTAAATAAAAGTAAAAAAAACAATTAAACAAAAGTGTGACTTTCAATAAGTATTATTTAAAATCTATATTGAATAAAAAAGTTTCTGTTTCTGTTATTAGTAATACCCGCGCACTTAATTAAAAATTGTAAAAATACCCTACCTACGTTTAATGTAATTTTCAAGCCTGAGCTTGAGTAGGAAAGTTGTTTCCCTAGGTGTATAATATATTTATTAATAATTTATAAGCCTAAGATGGCTAACGCATCGTCGTCCGTTACTAGTGACGCCATGGTTTCAACTGATGCGGCATCATGCAAACTTGACGGCGAACTTGAACGTGTGTGGCCTATATAGATGCACTGCAAACTTGACGCCGCTTCAAGCGCGCTGCAAACTTGACGTTAAACTTGATCGTGTATGGTGTAGGTTAAAATGGCGTAAGGCGTCGTAGGTTCAGTGAAGAAAACAGTTTATATTAACGTTCACAGTCTTTTAATAGTCCACGACACAAAGCACACTACAATAAAGAGTCAGAAGGGAAGCGAGCACAATCGTAGTTACAAAGAATAGCACAAGCAAGAAAGTAAGAGATAGCATTAACAAATAAACTGTACGTGGTTAGCCGCGGGCACAAAGGTGTTACAAGGGTCTAGTCGCAGAGGCGATCAGCAGGTAACTAACTTGATACAAGTACAACAGGATATGCGCGAGCGCCGCGATTCAATCCCCGGCCGCTCTGTCTAGAAAAAGGTCGATCCACAATGGTCCCAGTGTGTTAAATGCTTGTTCTATAATGGTTACATAATATATAATTAATTACGTTTATTGTAGGTGTTGTATGTGTTTATGTGTAAGTGTTATTGTGTTTCTGTGTGTATATATGAGGTGTGTGTAATAATGTGGTGGAATCCCCACATCACTCCCCCCCAGAGGCCGTGTCTACGGTCGATAAAAATCAGGAAATCTGACATGCCTACCGGCCCTTGTAGTTTTCCGGTTTTCTAAACTGCCGTCCATGACTTTGGGGCTGCAATCAGGAGAGACGTCGTAAGGCGGATCGGTGTTCAGCATATAGGCCGGTTTCAGACGGTCTATAGAAACTGTTATCTGCTTACCTTTAACGATGATCTTAAATACTTTATCACCTCTTTCGGTCACTTCATGTGGACCGGAATATGCAGGATGGAAGGTGCTTTTCAGCCGGTCTTCCCTAAGGAATACGTGGCTGGAATTAGCGAGATCCTTATATATAAATATTTTATTTTTATTATGCCGTGATGCGGGACGAGGCTGCAGTTTCTCACAAACTGAACGAATTCGTGCAGTAAAATCCGTAATGTCAGTTGTGGTGCTTACTGTGCTTTCGAAAAATTCGCCTGGGAGTCTTAAAGGCTCGCCGTAGACGAGTTCTGCTGAGGAACACTGCAGATCAGCTTTAAATGCGCTTCTGATGCCCAATAGTACTAGAGGTAAAGATTCCGTTCAGTTGCTATCAGCGTGACATATAATAGCTGTCTTCAGCTGTCGGTGGAATCTTTCCACTAGGCCATTAGAAGCGGGATGGTAAGCTGTGGTTCTGCGGTGTTTGAATCCGATTATTTTCGATAGATAATTAAATAAATGGGATTCGAACTGCCGTCCACGGTCCGTCACTATGTCAGTTGGACAACCAAATCTGGCGATCCAACCTGATAGGAGTGCCTTCGCTACAGTTTCGGCTGTAATATCCGCTATGGGCATAACTTCTGCCCATCTCGTGAAACGGTCAACTGCTGTTAAGCAGTAGCGGAAATTATTCGAGTATGGGAGTGGACCAATAAGATCGATATGCACATAGGAAAACCTGGCTCGTGGTAAATCGTATGTGCCTAAAGGTGCTGACACATGGCGGTTTACCTTAGAGCGCTGGCAGGCTAAGCACGTACGAGACCATTCTCGGCAGTCTTTTCTGACTCCTGGCCAAACGAATCGCTGTGCTACCAGCTTAGCAGTAGCGTTTGCACCAGGGTGACTTAAAGAATGTAGACTGTCAAAAATAGCTTTTCGAAAACTTTTGGGAACGAAAGGTCTTGGTATGCCTAGACTTATGTCGCAAAAAATTTCGACTTTGCTGTCGGGCTCTTTAACTTTAATAATGCGAAGTGATGATTCATCGCCTAGAAGCTGTGATAGCTCAGAATCTGTGGACTGCGTTTTTGCGAGCTCTTTAAAATCTACCGGCTGCTGTATTTCATCCACGCGCGACAGAGTATCAGCAACGATATTATCCTTGCCGGATATGTGCTGAATGTCGCTTGTAAATTGAGACACAAAATCTAGATGTCTATACTGACGCGGCGAACAGTTACTTTTCCTTACATGGAATGCATAACATAAAGGCCTATGGTCAGTATAGACTGTGAAGTGGCGTGCCTCGAGCATGTGGCGAAAATACTTAATGCCTTCATATATAGCCAGCAACTCACGGTCGTAGGGTGAGTACTTTTGTTGTGCTGGGCTAAGCTTTCGCGAAAAAAATGCTAATGGCTGCCAGGCATCATTTTTGTACTGTTGCAGTACAGCACCCAATGCTAAGTCTGATGCATCCGTTACCAGAGCTAATTTGGCTTGGCAATCGGGATGTGCTAATAGGGCAGCATTGCAAAGACTGTCCTTGGACTGCTCAAAAGCTGTTAGAGCGTCGCCTGTCAGGTCTATAGCTTGTGAAGCCTTCACCGAACCAGTTAATAAGGCGTTTAAGGGTGCTTGAATTTTTGCGGCTTCTGGTAAGAACCGCCTATAGAAATTAAGCATGCCCAAATAACGTCTGAGCGCTTTGACTGTTCGGGGCTTAGGGAATTCTTTAATGGCTTGAACTTTTGACTCAAGTGGCTTAGTACCTGCAGCTGAAATGTGGTACCCCAGAAACTGTACCTGTGATGAACCAAATACACACTTAGAGGAGTTCACCAGTACTCCGTACTGCTTCATTCGGCCAAAGAGAATATTGAGGTGATGTTCGTGCTCAGTAGCACTTCCAGAAAATACTAAGAAGTCATCTAAGTAACAGTAACAGAAATCCAGTCCTCTAGTAATTTCATCTACAAACCTTTGGAACGTTTGTGCGGAGTTCCGGAGTCCGAAGGTCATGCATGGGAACTCGTACAAACCAAACGGTGTGGTGATTGCCGTTTTCTGGATGTCCTCCTCAAAGACTGGGATCTGGTTGTACGCTTTGACAAGGTCGATAGTCGAGAATACGGTGCATCCTGATATGTTGTGCGAAAAATCATGAATGTGTCTGATTGGGTACTTATCTGGTATGGTGCGTGCGTTGAGTAGCCTGTAGTCTCCGCAGGGGCGCCACCCATTGCCTTTTTTGGGAGCCATATGTAAAGGAGATGCCCAGGTGCTCTCAGAAGGACGTGCCGTTCCGTTGCTCAGCATCAACTCAAATTCTTTCTTAGCTATTGCAAGCCTGTCAGGAGCTAACCTGCGAGGAGGGCAGGATATGGGAGGTCCAGGCGTAGTGCGAATGTAGTGTACGGTATTATGTGCAGAGGTGTGTGGTGTGCCTGCTGGTAGTGTTATTTCTGGATATTTAGCTAAAATAGTGTGGTATCGTGTGTCGCCAATAGGAACCTTAACAGAATTAATATTATTTACATTTTTAGCAATAAAAGCAATTGTCGACAAGGATGTTAAATTATCAATTAATCGTTTGTTCTTAACGTCTACAATTAGGTTATAGTGAATAAGAAAATCTACTCCTATTATGGCTTTATTTACATCGGCAACAATAAAATTCCATGGAAAATTACGTCGTAAATTTAAATTTAAATTAAGTTGTAAATACCCGTATGTATCAATTGCACTACCATTAGCTGCTGATAATTGATAAGATGTCTTACTCCGTCGTTCGCGAAGTGCCGTACGCGGAAACACACATACGTCACTTCCAGTGTCCACAAGGAATTGGCTCTTGGAGTTTCGGTCAGTAACGAAGAGGCGACCCGAAGAAGTTAAGCAGTCGTCAGTCGCCATCACCGACTGCTTCGAGCGTTTCCCGATTTTCCAAAATCGCAGGGTTTGATGCACCGGTTGGCCTTATCTCCATATTTCAAGTGATACCAACAGGTTGGGTAGCTTCTGTAGCTGGATTCTTCAGTATCTTCTGTAGCTGGAGTCAGATCGGGAAGTTGAACGTCTGCGATTGCGGATGCTAGAACGGTCACATGGTCTGGAACGTCTGCTCAATTGCATGGTAAGGTTCTTAACAGCTGCTTTCAGCTCCGCTATTTCATTCTCCATAGACTGCGTACTGGTACCAGGTGTCGTACTGGTACCAGGTGTAGTACGTGAGGTTGTTGCGACTTGAAGTGTTGGAGATACTATATCGTATATTCTGTCTGCTAGATCGGCTAAAACGTCCAATGAGCTGGTTGGTTGCGACACAATCAGCGTTTGGATGTTGTTGGGAAGTCGGCTGCTCCATATGCTCTGTATAAAGTCCTCGGGTACCGAGGGACCTGCCAAGCTCTGCAGGTGTCGTAAGAATTGGGAAGGATTCCGATTTCCCAATTCCTCGTGCATGAGTAACTGCTGAATCTTCCTTTCACGCGATGCTGACAAGCGTTTAATCAGTTGGTCTTTAAGTTTCTCGTATTTGTTACTAGAAGGCGGAGAAACAATAATATCTTTTACTTCTTTAGAATATTGAGGATCTAAATTACTCGTCACATAATAAAATTTTGTGGTATCCGATAATATGTTTGAAATTGTGAATTGACCCTCTATTTGCGCAAACCATAATTCAGGATCGTCCGGCCAAAATGGCGGTATACGTACGCTAACTCGATTAACGTCTGATGTAAGGTCGACGTGTGATCTGTGCTTGCGCCTTGTACATGGGCGCGTGGTAACATTTTGTTCTGATGCCGTTTCTGGCGATTCACTACCACTACTCATTGTACCTGTAGCGTCTTCTGCAGGGGTCACCAGTTGTAGGTTAAAATGGCGTAAGGCGTCGTAGGTTCAGTGAAGAAAACAGTTTATATTAACGTTCACAGTCTTTTAATAGTCCACGACACAAAGCACACTACAATAAAGAGTCAGAAGGGAAGCGAGCACAATCATAGTTACAAAGAATAGCACAAGCAAGAAAGTAAGAGATAGCATTAACAAATAAACTGTACGTGGTTAGCCGCGGGCACAAAGGTGTTACAAGGGTCTAGTCGCAGAGGCGATCAGCAGGTAACTAACTTGATACAAGTACAACAGGATATGCGCGAGCGCCGCGATTCAATCCCCGGCCGCTCTGTCTAGAAAAAGGTCGATCCACAATGGTCCCAATGTGTTAAATGCTTGTTCTATAATGGTTACATAATATATAATTAATTACGTTTATTGTAGGTGTTGTATGTGTTTATGTGTAAGTGTTATTGTGTTTCTGTGTGTATATATGAGGTGTGTGTAATAATGTGGTGGAATCCCCACATATGGCATCCATTAGACTTTAGTATAGGAAAATCCCCAAAATTTACACGCACTTCAAATGATTGCAAAAGTGTCGTCTAGTATACGCCAAATGACTTATTTTGAGCCTGTATTTTTCATTAGTTACATATTTAAAAACATGAAAAGTTTAATAAACATAAAATTTTGTCACAATTCAACGAAACGAGGCATTCCATCTTAGTCCTCACGGGTGACAACGCATCTGCATTACGATTCGTAATCGAAGATAGATGTAGATATCTATGGGCCACAGCAACCACTTACCATCAGGTGGACTGTGTGCTCGTTTGTCACCCTTATCCTATAAAAAAACATACAATTTACAAGTATTATTTTATGTAAATTTAATTTGATCATTTTATGTTGATTTTTGAAGTAAAATTATATATACGTTTGAAAACTGATTCTGATAACTCGCTTAAAGGGAACCACAGAGTTATTGTTACGTACTGTATTTTGTCAGCACTAATGAAAAGCCATAACATTAGAAGAAAGCCTAACTGACTAGATAACTTCTGTTTACGCCCGAACGCTGATTTCGGGATTGACGTCAGAGGGCGCGCGGCTCGGCGATACCGGTTTGACGTTCGGTCGTGCGTAGAACGCGCGAGGGCAAATAAGAGTCGTCTGCCAGCTGTGCATGGGACAGCACGCTGTCATTTTTTGTCGGGAACTCGGAATAACTTAGGCGCGTCTAGTAAATATACGCTCTGGGATTTGTAACGCGTATTCCTTGGTTGAGAGCTTCACCCGGGACTCATTTTGTCTGACTCAGAATCTGTATAAGTGCATTCGACAATGTTAACTACTGTTTTAGAAATAATTGTTGCCACGCGAAGCGGTAGTGAACTTTGATCCGGACATTCGTATTAGGGCGGTGTGTTACGTTTTTGCTTATAGTAACGGCATTTCATATAGACCGACACTCCGTATTCATTTTGTGTGTTGAGCTATATAACAAACGAGAGTTAGTGGCTTCTTTAATTAAGTTAATCGTACGATAGAGTTAATGGACTGTCATCGTGACGAACGAAGAAAGTGACTGTGGACGGCGCCGCGGAAGGTTACCTCAATTTGGAGCGGTGCTGACGTCCGGGCTGCTGCCGGCGGCAACGGTCTAATAAGGTCAATCACCACCAGTCACATCCAGATACACATCACAGCACCTTACTTCCCTTGCACCACACAACCACATGCGACCTGACCGAATCCTGAGGGACCAGTCGCCTTGGATATAGGTAAGTAAGCTCGGTTTAATATTCTCCCTGTTGAATAGCAGCAAGATCGAACGCCCCCCCCCCCCTTATTGTTTATTGTTATTAGAGATTTTCCACTTTGGCCTTAGGAGGCCCGACCTGCATCTGCTTGTAAGGTCTTCCGCTATGGGCTCGGAAGATTCTACTCTTAATTAGGCAGCTGTAGGCCGTAACAACTTCTATATTATAAATATTAGTTATCAATCTAAATATAACTACTGCAATAATAACCTTGGCATAAGATATTACTAAAATAACCTAAACGTCATCTTAATCGGATGGTAACCTCAACAAATAACCGAACGAGTCAATCAAGCCATGACTATTGCAGAATGTCTGAAATAATATCACAATGGGTGGACTTTACAGAGGGTAACCCACTGATCAACAATTCACTCAAGGTCCAGAGCATGGATCCCCACTGCACCAGTGGTTGAGTCAAGTCCTAAAAAAGACTGCTTGCTTAGCGAGTTTCCGAGTGGTTCACTTCATATGCTTACATTATGAATTAGATTGTTTTATTCTAATAACTTTCTTTGCGTCCTCCCATATTATCTACCTTAAAATAGATATTAAAGTAGATTACTATTTTATTAAGTACATTAATTTCTGATATTTACAAAAAACAATACATAATAAAATTCACATACCTAGTTAGTCTACTTACTCGAAGAATACAAATAATAAAAATAATGTTGTCCAACACTCGCGACCCACCCTTATGCTATGTCAAACAACAGATGTATCGACTCTACTTCTCCAATCGCGCTACAAACGGGCGTGCACTCACCTCGAAAATTGAGGCGGCACTGAATTTTTTTCACGCGTGTTCTCTAAGCGAGTTACGGAAACCGAACCGTTTCATACTAAAATGTATGGACGATTTCTGTTAAAAAATGAATGATATTAAAATAATGAATGGTGAATGTGTTGTCTATACTTTTATCTCACGTTTTAACCAAAAATATTTTCTAAAACAATAACGAAATGGCCTAGAGATTTAAAACAGAAAAGGCTGTTTTAAGTGTTTTTACGATTTTTGAAGATTTTTTTTCTCAAAAATCCAGTTGTTTTCTATAAATATCACACGGTGAAAGTGTACACCCATCTATTAACTAATTGTGCTGTCATTGTTTTTTGTGCTGTCATTCATTGAAGTCAGTTCTTTAATATTTTTAAAACCGTAACTGCCTATTTGAGCGTTTGTTAAGGACCGGCCTCTTAAGCAAATTTAACAACACGAATTATACATGTTGTACTTCTCTAAGAAGGTCTCATTCTTGCGAACCTGTATAGACGAAGAAACTTTAAGAAAGACTTTTCGACATGTACATTTATCCTCGATTAAGAATCAAATGCAGATGTGTTTTGTCCCCTTAGGACTAAGATGGAATGCCTCATTACTCTACACTCATCATACGAAACACAGCAGCATTAAGCTGCTAGTTTACGCTAGTATTCTGATCCTTCCCCGTTCGAGCCAACTTATTCGTGCGACAACCGTAATATAGCTGCAACGCGGTTCTACCACGTAAAAAATTATGCTTGATATCTATTTGATCGAGTGATTAAAATTAATGCTCGAAGTGCTACTTTAGCACGTAGACCCACGCATTAGAAATAATCTCGAAATTTTCTTTTTTTATATAGAATAAGGCTAACAAACGATCACTA